ATAAATCACAATGTTTTGTAGCCAATCTTTGTGACAGTAGCCCGTGCTTAAATCATTCGAGTTGTCAACAATATCGAGATTTCTACAAATGTTTGTGTGGTATACAATATGGTGGAACACGATGCAAAGAGAAAGGTATTTTTAAAATTGATATATAATTTGAAGACATGCTCAAGTATAGCAGAGTTATTATAGAATAAAATGTATAGTAACCAATAGTCAATGTTATATAGCAAAACACATAATGGAATATTTTCATAAAATGAAGAAATTAACAATTGTCAATTATTCTTTACTGTATGAACTTGTCAGATTTTTTTTTTAGTGAACTGTGCCTCTGCTCCGTGTCAAAATAACGGCTCGTGTTCAGACATCAGCGCGGCCGGTGATGGCGAATTTTACTGCTTTTGTCCAATCGGATACACAGGAGAACTATGTGAATCTACAATATAAACCATCTCTTCTCGTAATATATCAAAATACAATCATGACATGCCGAGTTATTGCAGTTTTTGTTTACTCTGAGAGAAGAAAATTAAGCAGTTTTCTTGATTACCATTGTGCATGTATGTCTTAAATCTATTAACTTTCAGTTCTCTGCAGCAAATTTGTCGACCAACATGTCGGATCCATCTGGCCATTAATCTCATATCCCCCAGAATCTCTCAAACAAGAACAAACTTGGAGTAGCCGATTCTAAAATTTTGACCGATTTGAAATTCCTTATATGAATGTTTTTATCGAATATTATTTTATGTGTTTTATTATACAAGAGTTTTGAAAATGTAATATAAAAACGGACGCGCATTCCCTATTAAACCCTTTATCAAACTCTTTGTTATACATCTTTGCGGAACACCTCAGTTTATTTGATTGGGTAATGAATGTTTGATCTTTTCCTATTTTTAGTGGTACAGAATTCTCAATCAGTTATTCTCGACTTATTTCCTGAAATAAAGTATTTCCTGATTATAGCATATATACAGAAACACATGTTTATATAGATGTTTTATCATTACTTTTTTTTAAAAATGGTTTGATTTTAATATAAACATATACTTAAAAATCAGCTTGCTCTTATTTTTTGCTTAATTTTGTTCGGAAAAAAAAATTGCTCACCAGAAAAAATGTTTTACTCCAAAAACAGAGGAAGAAAATTTATAATCGAGATTTATTTTAGATGACTTAAAGGGAAACTATTCGTGTGAATCCAGTTTTGTTATATTGGATATATCTAAATGTGATAATTGAAATTTGACATTAATCGCTATCATTCTGAATAGAATGGCGGACCTTTCTACAACAGAAGATAGAAGGAGTAGCGACAGCGAGGAGTATAATGAGATAAATGATGACACAAATCATGATTATTTCAACGAATCAAAAAGCATTCCGTCAGTCCGTCATCCTCAAATGGTTAAATCTTCTCCAAGTGACGTTGCCGAGGATGAAAATTATGAAAGCATAGATGAAAATATAGATGAAAGCTCTGTATATGTTAATGAAACGAAGAAAAATACAAACTGTCTGGTATATGCCGATTTAGTATTTGATGATGGATCACTAAGCTCTTGTCATCAAGCATTTTGTGTCTACGAAAGCAATGGGGATGCAGATGAAATCCTGATATCACAAAAGGAACCCGTGTATGAAAACCAATGTTTTGAAGAACACGTGATCCTTATATCAGACAATGAAAATTCCGATTCTGATTCCGAAGGAAGCTCACATTCGTATATAGATGTTGATGAGGAGATCAAGATTCAAACAATGCGATGTCGTACCAATACTTTTGGAGAAGGTCCTTATGAAAGAGGATCTCCTCCAAGTTCCCCCTCTAACAAACGTAAAACGATGTTAAAAACTTCAAAATTGGCATGCACTGGCATGACAGTGTTGGATGATCATCGTGTTGTTGTAGTTACCTTTGACGGAGAAATTATCGTTTTCGGGGTCACTGGTTCCTTTTCGTTTTTGAGAGATTTTGAGGAACATTTTGAGGATGTAACGACAGTACCGGACTCAAGTATAGCTGCAACTTGTGGATTCTGTATTCGTTTTTACAAAGTAAAGGAAAGCAATGTTTATGAAATAACAGACAAATGCCTTGACTTTGAATGCAATGGATTTATGACTGTTCATGCCATTCATTACGATCACAAAGAATTTGTTGTAACATGCAATTTGCAATCCGTGAATCCAAGCCCTTTTATTGGAGTTGTTGACAAGAAAGGAAAAATTACAAAGACAATCCAGATTCCCGGACTTGTATCACCAGAGGATGTAGCATTTAGTCTTGACAAGAAACATATTTTTGTCACAGATCCGAAAATAAAAACATTATATGCCCTTAACAGAGACGGACAAATTAGGTGGAAGAAGGAAGATGAAGAAATTCCTACATCACTAGCAAATCTTCCAGAAGAGACGCTTGTTGTGTCTTTTCAAAGAACGTCTTCATTGAAACTCTATTCTTATCAAGGTACTTTACGGCGAGTAGTACTTGCTGAGTCTGATGGGATACCTCTGCCTATTCTTTTGTCATACCATACTCAATCTGAACTGCTGCTTTTCTGTCCAACAGTACATATTGTTGGAAAAAAGGATTTCATTTTCTTTCTGAAGATGAAGAGTTCAAAAAAGAAGAATTTTGCTTCTATGTTTTCATTTCTTTAAATTTAAAAGTAGAGGATGTTAATTTTGACTAAAAAAGCTTATTAGACAATTGTTAAAAATATTTAAATTTAACTAAAATGTTTACATCTGTATGTAATTTTTTTTTTAAATAAGGACGTTTTTGACTTTCTAAAATAGATTTTTGTTGAGGAACAAGGAAATTCCAATAATTATGCTTTCATTTCTACATCCTTAAAATTTCGACGAGAATATATACAATAAGGAAACAAAACACTTAAAGTGATGTATTTGAGTGATACAATCCCTATCTTTCCATTCCGAATTCAATCGAAAATGAAATAGTTTTATTCATAACGATACATTTCCACGTAATGGCCTGATTAAAAAATGCGCACAAACAATTAATCTCACACTTTGATATTTAGTTTTAAGACAATACTTGTGAGCATGGCTGACTACGTGAACACCACACATACCAATGAAAGTCGTTTTAATATCGTGTACGCTGATTTAGTATTTGACAGAGGATGTTTTCACTCTTCTCATCAAGCATATTGTGTGTTTGAAGAAGGACCAGTTTATGCGTATTCTCCAAACCACCACACTAGTGCTGAATTTGGGGACAACATTGAAGAAGGATTGTTTGAGAAGCTTGAACTGTTAACGGATGAGGAACCTAACGATTCTTCTTCCGATACTCATTCATACCTTGATATGGAACTAGAAACCGAGCTTTACAACGCGAAACATCGATGTAGAACTAGCACTTTTGGAGAGGGTCCATATAGTAAGGTTGGAGAGGTCTGCCAACCACCAAAACCAATAGAGAAAAAAGAGAGGAAGGCGTCACACAAAAAGTTAAAGCTTTCATGCACTGGAATGGTTGCCTTAAATGATGGCCGAATCGCCATCACGACAAGAGATGGCAAGTTGCTAATCTTCGGATTAGAAGGAAAGTTTTTGTTTCAGAAAGAGTTTACCGATCGTTTTGAGGATATCACAACAATGAATAAGACGGATGTAGCCGCAACCTGTGGTTGCAATATCAAAATATTTACCATCGGAAATGCACAGATTGTCGAGCTTCCCGAAAAATGTATTAAATGTATCTTTCCAGGGCAAGCTTCCATACACGGCATACACTTTGCTGCAAATCAATTCTATATCTCTTGCAAACTTCAGACAGATTGCATTGTACCCAAGCCACTCATTCGAGTGTATGATCTGAGAGGTGGCTTACTGAAAACTTTTGAAATCCCAAGGTTAGCTTCGCCAAAATATGTTGTGTGTAGTGCAGATGGGAAACACATTTTTCTAACAGATCAACGAAATCGGACAATTGTGGCGCTAGATCAAGATGGATCGATAAAATGGGAGGCAACTGACCTATCCATTCCAAAGTCACTCACCATAGTTGGCAAAAATCGCATTGTAGTGGCTTCTGAAGAGTCCACATCTTTTAAGTGCTTCTCGTTTTCCGGAAAGATGATTCGTACTATTGACACGGAAATGCATAAGTCGTGTTCTCCATTTTTGATCTTCTACCATTCTTCCTCAAACAAATTGTTGTTTTGTCCTGAGAAACAGACGATCGGAGCACGTGATTCTGTATTTTCAATGAAACTGAAAAAATCTAAGCGGAAAAGGTTGTCCAGTCTCTTGTTTCCTTTTGCAAAGGAATAATTATTTGACGTGTATTACGAGACTGACTTAGAATATAAGAAGCTTTACAAAGTCAAATCGAAGTCACTTTAAAAACGATTCTATGCCCCGCCATAAATATGACCGGGGATATAGTGTTTGAAATGCCCATCTTTCTTTCTTCCGTTTCGTGCTTAGCACAATTAAATATTTGAAAGAAACTATTCAAGATATTGTTATCAAACTTTATATGTTCACTCAAAATTATAGTAGCTATTCAAGTACATCATCGATCAATTTTTTTACCTTGAGCTTTCCAATGATCTGAATTCACTTTTTCTCAAATTTATGTCTCAACAACTTCAATTATAGTATTAGATGTAATTGCTTATTAATTGATCACAAATAAAAATAAATGTGTGTAGATTAAAATGACGACCTTATTATTTCCAACAGGTTATGTGAAGTTAAGTAGCATCTTAAGGCTTTCCCGCGAAAACAACACTAATCTGACAATAAGCAGAATTTTATTAATTTCCATCTAATTTTGTCTACTTTAGTGAAGTTGGTAAAATGAAAGAATATCTATACCAGACTGGTCGATAGTATCTTAAAAGACATTTGTCACAAGAATTAAATAATATAAGGCAATCATTTTGTCTAATGTAACTGAAAATCCAGAATTGCATGATTTTCTAATTTTTTTTTCAAACTTCACTATGTTAAATGTGAAGTTTTTGTTTAAGGAACTTTGTGAACTCTTCGAAGTTAAAATCTGCATCCCTGCCATGGCAGACCGTTCTCTTGCAGCAGGCTGGATATTTAGCTCTGGGATTTTCTTTAATGTAACAAGCTAGGTCTGTTCCATTGGCTGGAGGAGGGTCATCTCGACAACTACAAAATTATCATTGATTAATTATAGTAAAAAGAATATGTTTCAAGGAGTACACGTATCTTTTATTTCTGTGATTGATATTCAGCTTGTTTTCAATTATGTCACACATCGGTGTACAATGATGTAAAAGAAGATACTACAACAGTCAAAATCCGTGCAAAGTCATACAGTAAAGTTGTCACTCTTGTTTAGCATCTAACCTATTAAAATACTGAAGTATATTTGTATTAGTATCCTTTATTTTGAGGTATGAGAAATTTTACAGGATAACATTTTCTCCCTCTTACCAATATTAAACATGAGAAAGAATTAGTTTATCGGGTTGAAAATTTAAAAGGGACTATATTTTTGGCAAAGAGCAGCATAGAAAAAAAATCTTTGATTTATTTGCTGTAGAAAAAATGGCAAGATAAGTTTCTGTAATTTTTTACTCTTCCAATTTTCGAGTCCTTGCCATTAAAAAGACGATCAATTTAAACTGAAATGGCGTTATCACTTAGTGGTATTGTCTCCTTCCTTGTATGTGTGAACATTTCACAAATATGAACCGAATCTCTCCTTGAGTGTAAGTTGAAATACTTAAAGCAAAATATATTTGATATATACAAAAATCTTTAGCATCATAAAGATTCCATAGCAATATTTTGGAGGAATATATTATTCGACCCTCTTTCAAAGAGATTTTCGCGAATATTTTCAGAGAATACCTTAAGAAAATTCGTCTAAACTTTCCCTATTCTTCAAGACTATTTCATGTATTATCTTTTATATCTAAATAAAATAAAAGAATAACACAGGTATCCACATTTTTTTCTTAGTCGTTTAATGTTTTGGAATTGGATCTTCTGGCCACCAAGACTTACCGATAACAGTGAAACCCGTCAGCTAAACAGATACATTGCGAACAACCATCATGGAAGGCGTCTTCTTGTTTAAACTGTATTCCTCTGAAGTAGCAGGGATCTGGAAACGAATAAAAAATCTTTTCTGAATATTTTAACATTTTCCTTTAACTTTTAATACTTTAACTCCAAAGAAAAAAGGCTTATTATTTGCAATATATTCACACAAACTAAATGTATGGTTAATTTTTGCTTTATTCACTACAAACAGATGCTTCTACACACTGCGTGAAAGTTAAGTAACATCTAATATTCTGTCTTGCTTTATGATGTGAATTTCCTTTATTTATACATGCTAAATTTCATATTAAAGAGAGCAAAAAGCGAATGAACATCGTAAACATACATTATGCATGTAGATACAGAAATATTTTTACCACAAGCAGGAATGTCGCAATACCCCCAGTAGTCGTTAGATGTGTGGTTCAGCTTTGTATAACACCACGGTTTGTTGCCACTACCTAAAGGATTTCTACAGTAATTGTTCTCTAATCCTTCATCCGGGTACTGTTTTGGAGTGACGTCATAATCATGGCTGTCCCAGTTTAGACAGGTTTCTGCTTTATTTGTCAGTGAGACTTTTCCTCTATAGTATCTTCCTTTATCGATAACGGAAACACACTTGTCTTCAAATGGTTGGATTTGAAAAGAGAACATGAAATAGCAGCATTTTATTTTTTACATGTATTATCATCATTTTGTCTATTAATTTTTCCTGGAATAATTTTAATGAAGTTACATTACTAATTATAATATAAATAACTTAAAAAGTACAATTAAATTACTTTTAATTGAGAACTTAAAGCTTAAAAACAAAATTAAGCCGTTTATTAAGAACTTAGTTGAAGTAGCACCATATATATGTATACCTATCATTAATGATAAAGTGGAAAGTATGCTGAATTTTACAAATGAAAAATTGAAAAACGTATCAAATATTTACCTGTGAATATACATTGTTCCAGGGAAAAGTTCACAAAAAGTAAAGTAAAAAATGTGTTAACAAGAATCATGTATGTTTCCATAGTAAAAACTTCTGTGACAGGTACCTAGAATTTCTATCAAATTCTTATCGTCCATGTCTGACGGTATGCAGCAGGTGTCATGGGCAGGTGCAACGAAGAATTCAAATTAAATTATTGACTTAACTACGTAATGTTGCATTGTTTATATATAATTCATGATACAGTAGTATGGATAATATGCACGCTTCCAGAAGAATTTATTTTAAAAAAAAAGTCGGTATGCTCGTTTCTTGTATCTTTAATCTTAGCCAATAATTGAATTAGTAATGGTAATTCTGATAAATGCTAAGTTAAAATATGTATTCCATTTGGGGGAAAGGTGAAGGTAAGAATATTAAGGATCAACATACTTTGATGACTTAGAATAAAACAAAATTGAATTTGTAAGCTTACAGAACCTCTTTACAATATTAAAAGAACGTTATTGTACATTTGGATAATTACATGTAAACTGCATAAGGGTAATGTATAGAGTTATAGAATTATAGTTATAGAGTTGATCTATACATGTACATGTATTTCATTTTCAACAAAAGTTACAATTTTTCAGACGTTTACACCCAAGAAAAATGTTTTGAAAAAGACAACAAAGCATTTAAAATTGATGAATAATACAGTTTCTTACTTAACACTGGAAAATACTTGCATATAATGTGTTCAATTAAAGCATCTTAATTTGACAAATAGAATTAGATAGAAACTTAAGTAATGCATTAATACACTATAAATTCTAATACTTTCATTAAGTACTGATCTAAGGAAGATTACTCTTTCTGCAAAAGAAAAAAAACAGGAAGTTAAAGCTCTTTAGAGTACATTGCGTATATAAACGTAAAGGGCCATTGAGCAAAGCATTGTTTAAAATGATGAAGATTAACAGTTGAATTTAACACAGGTCTCATGCAATTATACAGAAACATAGCAGTTGTTCGCTTAAAGGTAGTTGGTCATCGAAGTCTTCCAATTATTAATTTTTGTAAATACTAATTATTCTATAATAGTATAATATCTATCATTACTAACTTAAAGTATTATGTTATCATGCACTTACCCTACACATGTATATGGATGACACAGAGGTTTGCTGTTCCCAAGAAACGCTTTCCTATAATATATTATAGTGACTTAAAAATTACAGGTGTTGAAATGTGGTTCCAGCTTATATTCTTAATTTTATACATGGTTTTTTAAAAAAATATTGTGTAAAAGTTCTATCCTATACAAGCAAGATAAATCGTGTTGAGATGAAACTCACATGTAACTTTTTACATGTATGTACACAGGCAAAAGAATAATGTAATGTTTACATTCAAGTTACTAGTCTCTTCTGAGAAACTCATTTTATGGACTTTTGATCTTGAATACTGTTCGTTATCTCCATCTCTTTCATTGAATGTTTGTAAACTTACTTACTAACGCATTTGTTTGATATCATGGAACGGGATTATATTCATATACAACATATTTATTAAAACATGTCAGATAATTACATAAACATGCAAGTTATTTATGGCAACATGCAGGATAATTATGTTAATGCGAGTTAATTACAATAATATTATAATCGAGATTAAGATGACTAGGACACTTCCTTAGAATGGAGAATACCAGAATTTCGAATTGTCAGAGGGACATCATCAGGAAAAAGTCCTAAGAGAAGACCAAAAACAACCTGGCGTAAGACAGTCGAGGGTGAACTGAGAGACCTTCACCTGACTTCGTGAGAGGCAGACTGTAACCAAGAAGAGAGCTAAGCATCGTCGCTAGACTAGGGTTTTCAGTCCGCTCTGCTCCTCTTATGTTTATGGGGGCCAGAACGGACCGAAAACCAGATGAAAGCTGAGTGGTGAAGTCTCGTGTTGAACTTATGCTCCAATGTGAGCGAAGAGGGTAGTTAAATTAACTAGCGAGTTAATTATGTCAACATGTGAGATATGTATGGTGACATGCAACTTATTATAGTATTATCTTGCATGTTGAAACTATAACTTGCACGATGACACAAATAAGTCGCATGTTGACATACGTTGCATGTAAACAAAATTATCTTGCATGTTGACAAAAATAAATCACAAGTCTACATAATTATGTTACATTTTAACATATGTCTACATGCATAAAAATAATGTTGACATGCAAGTTACCAACCCTTTTAGAGAACCGAATTTTAATTTTGGTAAACTTACTTACTAACGCCAGTATACAACATCATACAAAAAAAGATGGAACATAATTACATGGATGTTGACATTCGATTTATTTATTTAAACATGCAAAATATTTATGTCAACATGCGACTTTTTTATGCCACGACTTATTCATGTCAACATACAAATTATATTTTAACATGCAAAATATGTATGTCAACATGCAAGAAAATAAGTTGCATTTCTACTTATACATTTACAATATACATTATGTTGACATAATTATTTAATTAACTCGCATACATATAAACATCAACATCTTGCATTGTTACATTGAAAAGTTGCATGTACACAATTACCCAATTACCAGTATCCATCATGTTAACTTAATAAGTATCATGTCAACATAATTCTGTCACATCTTGTTTGTATGATGCCAGTATTATGATGTATACTGGTGTGCGTAAGTAATTTCACCACTATTAAAATTAGATTCTCTAAAGAGATTGGCAACTTGCATATTAACGTATTTATTATACATGTTTACATATTTAAGTCACATGTCTACATAACTTTGCTGCATGTAGGAGGGTGAAATACATCACCATTGATGAGACATGATTTTTGAGTCGGTTGAAATTTTTCGAACAGTCATTGAAGACCAACATTGCTTTTCATTTTAATTTCTTTTTAAATTCAATGTCTGATATAGATAATATAATGAATTTATATATTTGTATTATCGCGTATTTACGTTTTTCAATGCAAAATTTTGCTGCTTCTCTCAACGACTGGGGAATGATTTTTTTTTATTGAACTCTAGACAATTTCAGAAAACTTTACAGTTTCTGGAACAATAGTTCTTGAGAAGTAGATTTTGGGGAAAAAATTAGATAAATAATTAAAATGAAATATTTTAGGGTGCCCTTACCTTGTCGGTTGTACAGTATATATTTCCCACTACCTCAGGAAGCTTCACAAACAATTCATCTCTTCTAGCCAAGTGGTTCTCGAAATCAATTTTTTAAAGAAACCACTCCTATTTTTGTTTTTTTTTCCCTCGATAATCTCCCCCCTGCAAGGGGCTAGATCTTGCATAACATAATTTAGAATTTCCTGTACCCTAGGATCCTTTGTGCTAGTTTTGGTTAAAATTGGCCTGGTGGTTCTTAAGACAAAAAAGTGAAAGTTTACAGATTGAGGGACACAGGAACATTGATCAGACCAGCTTACTTACGAGCTTAAACCGAAAAATACTTATCATAAGTATATGTATTGACAGAACTTTACATGTATCAACTCAGGGATGTACATCTCCGTAATTTAAAGTGTACATATGGTATATATACATGTATACCCCTCACAACGTATACACAATGATCTTAAACCTTCCATTTTTTCCAATGAATTAGAGAAATTAACTTTTTTGCTGTTTTTATGAAGATAAGAATGAACTGAAAAAGAGATGGAAACATATCAAGCCTAACATCTGAATTTTGAATAGTTATCGTTATTGTAGAAGTACGCTGACGCAATGATATAAATAGATCTACCCCTTTGATATCCTGTTCGATTAGGTCACTGGAGCTTGTTGTGGTCTCTGTGTGACCTGATTATTTCATTTTATCGCTGTTGATTGTTTACCTGAGCTTGTGTAAGATATAGGTAAATAAAATAACCTGTCGCTTTATATATCTTACTTCGTTATTTATCTGATAAGTTTTTTGACACTTAATTATAATGTTCTAGTTATTCACCATTACTTACAGTTATCAGGTTTATTTCACTCAATTTTACTTACAGTTAAAATAGCCAATGGGAGAATGTACGATTTCTTTAACTTTGAAATATAACAATTTTTACTGACTGTTACCTACTCTTTACAAACATTTTTTAAAAAGTCGAGACAAAAATCCACCTCAGATTACAAAACTGATGCGTCATGCTGATGTATCAATTGAGGTATATTTTTATCCAGTGTCATATTTCTTTAATAGTAAATTTGAATTCAGTCTTTACTAAGGGTTTTCAACAATTTAATTTCTCAAATCGAAATGAAATATGATAAAAAGTATTTCCGCCTCACTTCGCTCGCTTATGCAGGTATTGTGATGTAGGCAGTAATAAAAACGGATGAAGTGTAGCTCAAACAATATCCTGCAACCGTTTAATGAACAAAACAATACAATTTCTACGGTCATTTGAACCCCCGAGAAAAAATCTACATAAACTACGAACCGCAAACAAATAAATATATTCTTATTAAGTACAGTCCCCGTCCAAGGAACAAAATTTGCATTTTGGAATGCGGCCCACTTTCCGACCTACGTAATTTAGATGCGTTATCGTGTTATGTGTAAACACTGAAAGGATGCCGGACTTTGTCGCTTTAAGCTAATATACCTATGGGTAAGTTTTACATTTATTTATTTGAAATTAATTTTTTTGATTATAAACAGCAAATGCATGATATTAATTTAAGCTTAATTATCACCTTTTAACGACAACCTGACCTAACTTGTTTAATAAATGAGAAAACGTTTAATTTATAATAAATGATTGCAGTTACATTTTTCATAATAACATTATACCTTAACCTGTGAAAATTAATTTTACCTACAATTTTAACTCAAATAAATAGTCTTCGCATAAATATTTGTTGAATATTAAAGTAATAATTGATAATTTCAGCACCAAAACGGATCTTATCAGCTGAGTAGTTCATTAAATGTTGCGGGTATATTTGAAATGGAAGGTCCCCAAATTGCATTTTTCGTGCTGCTGTTAGCGTTGACAGGTTACCTAGGTAACCGATTATGGACGGCCATCAATGGCCCCTCGTACAAGGAGCGGATCCAGCGGTTGGCTGCCGTTGACCACCAGCTACACAACCATACTGTCGAATTTGCTCGACCAGAAATCATCCAGGTAAGATGGGTCATACAAGTTTTATACCTAATCTTGAACATTCATTGACCTTATTTTAAGGACACATCAGAGTAGTTTTGAACTTTATTTTCTTATTTTAAATAATTTAAGAGTTACAAAAATATTCTTCTCTTATAATGATTGCTACTTTGCTTAAATAATTAAAAATTATATATTTGATATTTTATCTATATACATGTAATTAAATAAAAAAAGGATGGATGAATTTTAATCAGTGAACATTTTTTAAACCACCTGCTAATGTATGATTATTTTTGTATTAGAACATCTGACGGTATACTATGATTTTATACTGATTATATCCTGAATAATAATTTGTGCTCTTGTAAATTCCAATTTTATGACATAGGTTGTGTACGTTCTTAACAAATAATAAAACATATCATTGTAATTAAAGACCCATTTTAAAGAATCTATATTAGCTACAGTGAGTATTGGTAAAGCATTATTTTACTCAAGAAACGTGCACTGAGAAGAGTTGTCAGAAAATTAAATTATAACATAGTAATTTGTGTTTTGTAGAGGACACTTGTAAAGTTTCTAAGGAATTATTAACTAGGCCTACAGGCTTGAAACGATTTCGACACCCCTGACAATTATCTAGTTAATTTTACTAATAAAATTGAAAAGGAAGAAAAATATTTTCCTGAGAAATTGTAAAAATATATCAAAAGATAAATTAAGTCATTGATACAGTTTAAGACAATAATACTTTATTTGCAACATTAAAAAAATGCACCACTACACATGTATGCAGTAAAATAAATGGTAATCCTATTCATTAGATTGAAATTAGATATAGTATTGCATCTGATAACCATGGAATTAAATGCCAAAAGAAGAAATATTTCTCTTTGCTTCGAATGCTACATTTTTATCAAGAAATTACATATATGAGGAAGATTTAACATGATTTTGAAGAAAGTGAAGGAATGTAGTTTATTCTTTCATTTTGCATTTTTATTTGTGTTTGTTTATTGTTATTTATGTTTTATTTGTATGCTTTTTCTAGCCTTTTTGGCATTTTGATTTACGGCTTTAAATTAACCCAGAAACAGTTTTATTATTACATATAAATTTAAATTTTTCAAATCCTTTTTCTTTTGGTAGCATATTTTTGTACAAAAGGACTTAAACAGCATTCTTGAATTTTGATAATCGAAATTCTTTAAAATATGATCTTTATCAGATTTCTGATGATTTAATTTGTAGGTAACGGATGGTTTGTATATGGCCATTGGATACGCGCTAGCCAATTCTATAATGATAGAGGGAAAAAATGAGATTGTGATTGTTGATGTGACGGAAAGTTACGAAACTGCATTGGAGATCATGGCCGCCTTCCGAAACATAACGAAGAAGCCTGTTGCAGCCATCATTTACACACACAACCATGCAGATCATACGTATGGCGCAAAGGTTAAACTAAATTTTGTCTTACTGTAGTTTTAAATAATTATATACACTGTATAATGTAATTATGTTATTTCAACGCTCGTGTCTCATTGCCTAGCTTTTAAGAGGAACGTTTATTTTTAAGAAAGATCTTGAAAAATCACTCACTTCAGAAGGGGTCTAGTTTAGTTGTTGTCGTGGTATGAAGAGACTAGGGCTGTATCAATATATCGATATATCGATACGTATCGATATTTAAGAAAAATATCGTATCGAAAAGTAACTTCCAATACGTATCGGACAGACATTTTTTCTTCAAATTCTGTTTAAAAGCTGGGAATTTCAATCACCAAGGATTATATTTTACTTTTTTGAATTAGAACCTTCAATAATTATGTAAATTCTAAGGAAATAACAGAGTTTTTATAATTATTACAAAATACAGAGAGAAATTTATTTGAACATATTGATTTTACTGTCATCAAAAGTTTTAATTGAAGTGTTATTTTTAAAGATTATGAGACAAGAACTTTAAAATTGGTAATAAAACACTTAATTGTTATGAAATGTATGCATTAAAATGATTTAGAAGCCTTTTCTGATGGACTTGTTTCAGAATTCAATATATCGGATATCGCTTTAAAAAATATTGTATCGTATCGTATCGAAATTTTTGGCTCAATACACAGCCCTAGAAGAGACCTGGTAAACCATGTCCACTACGTAATTTCAGAAAAAAGAATAATTAAGCACCTCCCATGAACCAGCATTTTTCCTCAAGCCACGAAAATATGACAAGTGTGATTTTACAGTATCATTTATATTATCATGATGGTGAATTGCATGCAACTTTGCAATAAGATAACATGCATTTTTGATTCAGAGCGGAAGCAAGGCTCATAATAAAAGGCTCTTGTAAAGCAAATACTTGATACAGAGCTTGCAAAAAATAAATAAATAAATGAATAAAAGGGCCTTTTCTTGTGTTAGCAGTGAACCTTAGTTGGGGTTTACCTAAAATTGAAGGAAAGAAAAGTCAAGCCAAATATGAAAGGAAGAATATTGCAATAATTAATATTTAAAAAATAAATCTATCGCACACCATTTCTTTGACTTTATTCATACATTAACAACAACGTGTATACAGTGTACATGTTAATTATTTCTCTGAATCTTCACATACAATACACGACTTCTTTAAAGCAAACTATTTTCATTTGCATGGTTTTTTTTATTTAAAGGCGTTCATCGAAAAAGAATCGAGTCCTCCTGATATATGGGCACATGAAAGTATTAACAAAGAATTTCAACGAACGTTCACAACGAATACCGCTGGGTATCGACGGGCAATGCGACAATTTGGTGTCTTCTTGCCAGATGCAGTGAATTCTGGGATTGGAAAAATGTTGAAGTATGGCGATGGAAAATCTACGCTTGGACTGGTTTTCCCAAATAAATTTGTTCATAAAAGAGTTACTAATCTTACATTAGCAGGTGAGGACTGGTTTCTCTATAAAGAGCTTATTTCTTTGTCCTAAACCTAAATTTTTATTCTGACCTCCATGTTGTCCTAAAATGGTGCAAATTTTCGCCAATTATTTCATAACATAATTTTTTTATTCCTTTCATAATTTTAAATAGATAAGATTTTGCATTTATGAATCAATGATTGGAATTATTCCAAATACTAGGAAATAGAAGTGATAATTGCACTCTTCTTAAAAAACCAACAACTTTTATTTTTCATTCAGGCATTGAAATGTCAATTGTTCACATTCCGGGTGAAACGGATGATCAGATTGGTGTTTGGTTACCAAAACAGGATGCATTTCTCTGTGCAGATGATATGTACAAGGCATTTCCAAATCTATACGCCATTAGAGGAACGCCAGATAGAAATCTTCTTCAATGGGTGGAGTCCATAGATACTATCATAGAATACAACCCACAATTCCTTGTTCCTAGTCATACGCGCCCTCTGGTGGGGAAATCAAACATACAGGAAGTTCTGACAGTGTATCGTGACGCAATTCAGTATATCCACGATCAAACATTACGCTACATCAATATGGGAATGGATCCTACAGATATAGCAAATAAAGTGACATTACCAAAAAACCTTAAAGAGCATCCATATTTACAAGAATTTTACGGTACTACCGAATGGTCTGTCAGAACAGTGTTCACCTCGTACTTAGGTTGGTTTAGTGGTGATGCTGTGGACTTATCACCGTTGTCAAAAACAGAAAAGGCGGATAGAATGATTAAACTAGTCGGTGTCAATAAACTCTTGGAACAGGCACGTGAAGCACTGCGAACAAAAGATTTTCAATGGGCATTAGAACTCTCTACTTACGTTCTGATAACGAATCCTGGACACAGAGAAGCGACGGAAATAAAACTCGACTCTCTTACGTCACTTGGTTCTCGGCAAAAGAGTGCTAACGGACGGAATTATTATTTAACAAGTGCATTTGAAGAAGCAAGTTTAATTGATACTTCAGTTGGTCTTCAAAAAAGTCGAGAAAATGGTGTGAAATTGTTACCAATAAATTTAATATTTAGGGCCCTTCAGATACGTTTTAAGCCTGAAGACTGTGGTCATGTGAGGACAAGTGTATATTTCTCGTTCAAAGATTCTAATACTCATATTTCACTTACAATAAGAAATGGAATAGCGATTGTCAAAAATGGCGCATGCTTACAGTGTGATGTCGTCGTTACGACTACCGAAAAAGTTTTTAAAGACATGATCGGAAGTAGAATACGATCAATTACAGCCTATGGTTCCGGAGAAATAGAAATTCAAGGGGGAGCTATGAACTTCAGAAATATTATGTCTTGTTTTGAAAGAAGCTGATTTCAATACAATTGTCGAACTCCTGCAATTCAACTTCCTACAAAAAGATTCTGATATTTATTTGTACAAAAAAATATGTAAATATTCTGAAAGTTATAAAGTTGAGTCGTCCATCGTGATATTAAAAATGTGAAAATATAACGAAAATCATAGTGGTCGACCTTTAAAAAATCCAAAAATAATACAATTCATGGGTATAAAGCATGAACCCCATGCTTTGCGACGGGATAATTTTTATGTCTATTAAAAAAGTAATATAGGAGGTGCAGAATTAACCTTTTATGTCATTATTTCATATGATTACTTTTTGACCACGAAATAAACATTAAAAAATATAAATCTGTAATCATAATACACAAAAGTTATGCCTTACGTTCTGAAGAAACGTCTTGTAAATATTTATTCTGGTCCGTCCCTTCATTCAACTCTCTTCTTCTTGATTAATGGTGAAGTAAGTAATAAAGTTATCTAATTTATATAATCGATTATATTTCAACGTTGCATTAAAACTAATACTTAAATTTAAAATATACCCGGTATTATCTTTTGACAACGTCTAATTTAAGATGATATTGTTGCTGAAGTTACCTCGCTTTCCATCAAACACAATTTACCATTCACTTTTACGTTGGTACATGAATACCACTATTGGGTCAATGCGATTTAATATCATTGTGGTTACTCTTTTGATTTCGGGGATAATTTGTAAGATAATTTGTCTAATATGACTTTGGTTTTTAAAGTCCCTTCTAGAATTTTTCACTCATACTGAGAGGTCACGGCTTGCTGTTGGAGGACTGCAACCTGTACTCGACCTTAAGACCTTTGAGCTGTGAGAAATTTCTTTCTTTCGTCATTTCTCACGCCTTACTCCGAGTAGTTCTGATTATATTCTAGATTTCAACCTGGAATGATTTTGTAATTGGGACAAAAACGCACTTTTTTGATTTTTAGCTTTATTTGTATCTATAAAATATGTGCTGAAAAAGGTTATTAGTCATAAAATATGGCTTCAAATGCCTTAAACTAGTATCTGATATCAACAATAATTATCCATTTATGTATGCAAAACGTCGCCCGCGTAGCGCAGTGGTTAGGGCGTTCGCTCTATTTCACGGATTAAGGAGTTGATCCCTACGTCGTGGGTCCAAATTCACTGCAATCCATGAGCTCTCACAGTCAAACAATTACATTGGCGTACAAAAGTTTCCACAAGAATGGTTGATAAACCTCCTGGTATCTCTTGCATCCTTCTAAGGACACCGTGTAAACCAAAGTTCCGTGTCGCAGTAGGTACTGGCACGAAAAAAGATCTCTCACTGCCCAGTGGCCTTGAGTGCCGAGTTTGCAGTCCTCCATCGACAAGAAGTGGCGTCTGAATACGAATAAAAAATTCTCGGAAGGGATGTTAAACAACAAAGAAATAGTACCACGTGCAAACCTATTTGATAAATTGTATCTACACTGTAGCATATGTAAACTCCGAACCCGCGACCTAAGGATCAACTCCTTATTTCGTGACTCTAAAGCAGTCAATTTGGGATGGAATTTTGATTAGCGATGCCATTGTTTTGGATGTGTTAAACTTTACTTACATGTAATGGCGAATACGAGGTTTATTGTCATAATTTGCCTTAACCAAGTGCAAGTGTATTTCCAATTAAATTATTATGCCATACTTACACCAACTTGTTGAAATGGTATACCTATAGGAATACACACTACTATATAGACCTTATAAGCGCACTAACAGAACAGATGCATCTAGTGATGTTTATACTACCCTACCTGCTTTAGATGCTGGATCTTACCTTGGCTGCAATTTCCAGATGATTGATAGTGAGCCCTACATATTTACTTTACTTGTATGGATGATGCATCTAGGGATACACTAGTACTATACCAGGCTTGTTCCGGATGTGGAGTTTGACCTCATCTACCGTAAGAGAGACAGGTTGATTTAAGTTTGAATCAGGTCCATTCCCTAGTTTAAGCTTGACCTTTAACAATCTATCATGCCATTGGATTATGCATCTAGGGATATAAACTACTAAAGTTACTCGTCGTGTGCTAGATCTGAACAAAAAATGAACGAGTTTTAGTTTTGGAGCAGGTCAATAACCAAATAAATACACGTACAAGTCTACTGAACTCAAACTTGCAATGATATCGATCTTGACATTCAAACTTACTCGAAAAACATTGGTGATGAGATTTGAATGAATATAATAAGATTTGCCTTATTTACAAACTCGTCGCCTGAACTTCGTAATCTTTGATTACCTATGAATTTAATTTAAGTTGTATTCATCTGGTAATTGATATATATATATATAATTATTCTTATCTCTCTGTATCTCCAACGTTTCGCTTTGCAAAGGTATGGTCTACAGCTTTACGATGTAAGTTTCCCCAATCCTGATTGCATCATCTCTGCAATGTGCTTGGAAGTCCGAGCGGGTTGTCATTCTTTAAGCTTGCAATTAAGTCTATATGTGCATTTCAAATACTCAATCCAAGTTGATGTATACAATGTAACATTTATTTTGATCGATTTAATATGGTTTAGAAACGGTGTTGCAGAATACTAGTAGAAAATATTCTCTCCCAGTAAAAGGAAATATCATGTTTGTCACTATGAGATGTGCAAGGCGTCGTCCGGAGTAATGAATTCTTTTTGGTCAATATGATTATTTGATAATTCAGATGCTGATTTGTACTTTTCCAAAGTGGTGCTCTTTTTCCATACGATTGGAACGTTTCTTGCCAGCAATATAGCTTATGTGACAACTCACCACTCTACGTTTAATAGCTCTGAATTATTACTGCCTGTTGTAAACGTTCAGTAAATCAGAATAGTCTGAAAAAATTGCTCTTATTAAATCTTGTTCAGCGCTTGTTACTGGTGTCAGGATTTCAGATTCTCTGGATATCACATTGGCAAAGCCCAGTCCAATCAATATTCTCCGGACGTTCTTCGAATGATGAAGTTGAGTCTCAAGGAACAAAAACATTTCAGGAATAAATTGGTCAAATTTTGATCTCGTCACTTGATAAATAACTTTTTTGTTGAACTATACTGAAAGCGGCTTTAAGCTCATCAAGTACAAACTTCAGGCATGTAAAGACACGTAAATCCAATAAAATGAATAGCTTATGTTTTTAATACACAGGAGAAAAGTAGTTCTTGGTATTTCCTATAGCGGAGGAGAACATTGGATCAAGTACTAACTACATGTATGAGTGTTTTTGCTTTGCGTCGTTTAATTGAATGAATGACCTTTTTCACTTTCAACACTCTTGTTATTTTCTTTTAATTCATCAAAATACCTAGTTTAGTTGACTTGGCTTCGGTCTGCAATAATAACACAGGAACTGAAAGTTATTTAAATTAAACAATAAGCTGTGGATTCATTTAGACCATTAAATCTTAGAAAATTGCACTACGTACGAGCTCCATCGGGGATTAATGTATTTAATTAAAGAAAATCTCGGTCATTCACTTTTAAATTTTCATAAAGCAAAGTAAATTTCAGAAATATCCACTGTCTCTAGGTGTCTAGTCTCAAATATAAGTATATAATATAAGTATGTAGGTGTTTAATTTTTCTGTAGGGATACATCATTTAAATCCTGTAATTAAAAAAATTACAGACTACAGGCAATGGTTATTTAGGTTTGTCGATGATTTAAGATACTTTGCGCGAAAAATTAATTTGCACTAACGGGAAACTATATACGTGAAAAATCGAAATTCGGTCGTATTGTCACATTTTTTGCGGCCAATAATTGTTTCCTCTCCTGTGGAAAGTTACTGTTGTATTACATTTATGTTTTTCATTAATGTCAAACTCGCCAGACATCATTATGGTAATTATTGCAAGAGATTTTTTCCAGGGGAAAATGTACCTTACTATGCAGGTTCATCAGTATATCTAAATTCAACATGGTTTCTGTGCTTGAAATATCTCATTATACTACAAAACTTACGTTTGAATGAATTTATCTAAGTTTGTGTTGTGTTTGTTTTAATTCCTTGAAGTCTTCTTTTCTCCTAAAAGTAATAAGGAAACAATTTCCATCAATTAAAGCAAGTTGATATTTTTTTTTAGTAAGGGACTAGCTATATTGCCTACGAATAATAAATGTATAAACTAGTCAGTATTGTTCCCCACAAAAATATTGTTTTCAAGGAAAGATTGATTTCGAATAAATATTAACTGGATAATCGCATCCCGATAATCTTCTAAGTAGCTCGTAAAAAAAATGTTCCAAAAATATTGTTGGGTAATTAAGAGATCAGGACTCCGCAATGCTGATCGGATATTGGTCTCAATTTACAGAAATTTTAATGTGCAGACTACCAACATTATGAGGCGATGATTGGAAGAAAATCGTGTCTTGTCCATATTTGCATTGATTGACATTATCAATCACAGAGATTACAAAAACAAAGCAACTGTTACTGGAGTAAAGGAAGATAGGAATGTATATATCCTAGTGGTGATAGTAATATGACCGGTAGAAATACACAAGTCGGTACTTCGTTTAATAATTTATTAACAAACTTGTTTTCTACTGGATCTGTGTGTCGGCGTGGACAATGCAAGGTCCAACCATACGATCATGTATGAAACAGCCAATTTATAATAATGATAAATATAAAATGAAGAGTTACTCTATAGTGGTAATTGACATAATAAAATTAACTGAATAATAATTAACAAGTTCACTCAGGCACAGGTGGCATCAAATGTCTTGCGGTCACGGTCTTTAATTGTGTTTTACTTAGCACTATCAAAGAATATAACTGTGACTCAAAATCTGCTCATTTCACACGGTCACTTTTCACTCATATGGAGACGCAACCACTTGCCGGTGGAGAGCTGCAAATGTTGTCCTATACTTAGGGCCATTGAGCAGGGAGGGATCTTTTTCGTGTCAACACCTACTGCGACACGGAACCTCGGTTTCTACGTTCTCATCCGAAGGGCCGGTCTCCATGTCCTACAGATTTCTTTTACGAGGAGAGGGGATTATTATGTCACAAAACATATTTTTTTTATAGTCGGTACTATATCTTTTATATTTCACAGGCATGTTCGTAGAGACTAGTCCTTCCTTTAGTTAAAGACGGGGAAACAAAGGGTGATGAAAATGAAGAAAAAATATGTTTGGGAAAAATCTGACGCAGAACAGCAAGGCCAATGTGACACAGGTAAGCGCTGTGGTCCACGACCTCTTGTTTATTTTCTTAAATACACTGTACTAGAAACTGCATTTTTTTTTTTTAAAAATCACATTTAAAACTTATTCAATCCTGATGTTGTTGTGCAGCAGGTTATAGAGAAAGTTAGTACCCAAAGTAATCACTCAAAACGTGAGTATAATCTTGGTTTTATCAGTTTACCTGCTCCAAAGTGGTTTTCAAAGAGGGGTTGCTTCTTCAGCCCAACTCGGAATACAAATATAATTCGAGTAACTTTTAAATCCATTCCGTGATACAATAATAAATTTTTTCTTATATATTTGGTGAAGAACAAGAGTGATTTTTTAAGCATTTAATTTTATTCCTGACCGCTTCCAACGAATTTAAGAAATACACATGTCATGTAATCCTGTATTTCAAAATAATTTGTAAAATATAAAACCTTATGACATCTCATTGAGATTCGTATTTCTTTTTCCTGTTATTTTTTTTTCACATTATACAATCCAATACGTAAATCAACCAGCATTATTATTGTACACATTTTTCGTTTCGGAAGTTTCCGCACAATTTATATTATCGCCTACTTGTCTTTGAAACGAATATTTATAAATACAACAAAACACATCTGTGTCTCCGATGAAAGAAATTTACAAGAACTCAAGTTACGGTTCAACTGTAATATACCAGTTCTCTGATCCTTTTGTTTGCATCTGCGTTTCCGAAATAGATTAGATGCCTGTGAAGTAACGTAAATTTGTAGTACTACAAGGTTGATTGATGTTTATATTATTAGTTAATTGTACAATAAAAAGGTTTGTCTATTTCAGTGTGAATGAACAACCACTGTTACACGTGATTCCAAAACAAGTTCTTCAAATGAAAGTTGATAGTTGTGATCACCATTTTTACTCTTTTTCCCCATAGCATATTTTAAGAAAGTGCATATCCACATACAAACACCAATATGAGCGCAGCAATAAGACATGGAATTCCATCGTTGGTACTGAAGAAAGGGGGAGAAAATCGGTGCTAGACCATCGATTCGGTGCTACTCAAATTTCTTGGTAAATTCCCTTTCAGCTCGCCATTCTTTCAAACGGTGCTCACTAAGTTTCAGTGTTACTACATGCACATGTCCGACGACCGAAGTCTAATCCTTATATCGAAACTGAATCCAGAAATGGCATCGTCTGATTCAATTTGTCATGACTTTGAAAAATAGTACATTTCTACGACTAGTTGGTTTTTCAGCTCACAAGTCGTACAGATTATTACTAGAATGTTCTTTCTGTCCCACCTTAAACAACTTGCACAAGAATGACTTTGTTTTGGAGGAGAACGATTTAGACATTTTGGTTGGGGTGAGGGTGGGTACCTCCAGTTCTATGGAATTCCTCCTCAGTCGCACCTGGCGGACTATTCCAACCAACAGTTCGTCAACATTATGATTCAGAACAACAGAGATCTCTACATATTTACAGTGATAACGGTCAGATACAGCTTTGGCTTCTAAAAAGAAAATACAGCAGGAATTTTAAAAAGGCTCAATATTGATCCTTTTTTTTTTAATTGAACAGCCAATAATTTTAGATTCCGTACGCCTGTAAAGAACAGGTCGTTCGGATTGCAATAAATGCACGGTAATTTGTAAGGTTTTATATGTATAATGTTCCTGGTACTGTAAACGTTAAGACATTTGGAAAAAAGTTAAATAATTCAGCTATTACTGTTACCAATTTATCTTTGACAAATTTCATAATACATATAATATCTGCTAGGGTTTCATTGACAAGTATTGTTATTTTTGATAGCTGAATAGTCCAGAGGAAAAGCCAGGACACAAACCTTTTGTGGAGCGTTTTTTTTTTATAACCAGGGGAGGATGTGAACAAACTCAATTGTAAGTTGTTTTTTATAGCCAGGGGGATGGGAGGGCTCGGAGAAAAAATGTTACAGTTGTTAAGTGATTTGGGCCTTACCTTTCTCGGAGACTACCCTCCGCCTCTCTAGATCCGCCTTATTTGCCACAAGTATTATGGCCTGCTTCTCTGCCACCTCCTTCCTTATGAACTGAATGTTTTGAACGGCCTCTTTAAACGACTGTTCATCGTCCACAGAATAGACCACGAGAATGGCATCCACATCCGGTAGATCTTCAATTGACTATAAGAAATTAAATAGATTTTATAAAATTAATACTAATTTTATATTATCTTTGTCAACTGAGAATCGTAATACCGGTTCTGTGCTCTTGATCTCAGTCGCTGCCGCTAGGAAATTCAAGGGACGTTTTTGCTCTCGCGCTTGTAATCAAATGGCAACTAGCTTCGACGATGAGGTCGAGGATGAAAATGATGGAGGTGTATCTAAATCAGCCATAGAATTGTGGCTCTCCATTTGATAAAACTCGTACAGAAAAACCAGTGTCTGTTTTATAGTCGCTGCAGCTATATCAAAGGAGTTGTTATCCCATTATGATGATTCTAAAGTCGATGTCGGTTTAGAATTCCACCCTGTGGGACGTTGGACGTGGAGACCGGTCCTTCGGATGAGACCGTATAAACTGAGCACCCGTGTCGTAGTATTTGCTAGCACGAAAAAGATCCCTCACTGCTCAATGGCCCAAGTGCCGAGTATAGGACAAAATTTACTGCTCTCCACCGGCAAGTGATGGAGTCTCCATATGAGTGAAAAAATCTCGAGAAGGACGTTAAACAACAAACAAAATTCTGAAGACCGAATTTAATTTGGTTATTTGAACCATAAGTCACAGTTAATTACAGTTATTAAAATGTACAAAAAACGAAAAAAATGACACGTTTTTTAACTTGTTAGGCAATATAAGAAATGTCCATTTTATTGAATAATAAATTTTATTTTATATTTTGGGAGAAAAAAAGCCAGAGTAGACTCATGGGATGAGATAATAAAATAATATAAAGAAAGTTGAAAACGATAGAATACCAATAATGATAAACTTACAAACAAAGCAATGCTTTTATCAAACATAAAATAAGCGCGAGAACTATTCAATTATTGAACATAAGCTGTCAGGTAAGAAAGAAAATTATTCCTTTAATGATTTATAGAGCATTACTGATAGTTTTGCTTTGTGTCATTCGGATGTGTTGCTCAATATATTGACATATGACAACTAGAAGTGTCAGTATTTTTATCTAATGAGTTTTGATTTGACGGAAGTATTGCAAGAGTTAATGATTCAATTAACCTTAATGAATGGCCTAGCGGCTCAAACACAGGCAGGATTTGAGAATTAATGCGCTTCAAATGGACGTAATGAGTTCCTATCTGGCGAAATAACAATTTGGCTTATGGAATGTGGCTCGGACCCCCAAAGTGTGCTAAAAGCAACATCATTGCATATTATATCTCCAATATTCTACATATCCCCATATCTACACGTGATGATTGATCGGTAATTTGACCACTAATAGTATTCAACTTGTATACCGACATTATTTCTTTCGGCAACGGCAATTTTTTTCAGTAAATAAACTTCCGAAATAGGGCCTTGCATCATTTTAAGTTGCATACCAGAGGACGTTAAGGTTAAAGTTATTAACGTACACTGTACAAACAGTGTGCTATTGAGAACACGCACTAAATGCATTTGAAGCAATGGGAAAATTGGAAGAGTTCGTAGATTACCAACTCAGGCTTTGCAATGAAATAGTGGAATATATGTGAAAGAAATTTTGTGTTCACCAGAATTGTCATTCTGCCATTACGATTCCAAAGAAACGGCTCCCTTCATCGAATTTCATCTCCCGTAATACAAAGTTTATTACGCACCAAAAAAGACAATCATCGTCTAAATTGACGCGGGCAATATTGTCCGAACAATTTGCCTTCAGTATGGGATAAGGGCCATACCGATTGGTTCCTTACCTTTTTGTCACACGACCGCGATTTCATCCATCAAGTGGGTCATAAAATCAATTACAAGTCATGACATAAATAAATTACATTTCTGTCGAAATTGCAGTATCCTTTCTTTCTCAAAATTGCAAGACATATTGACTGCCTTTTGTTGGTAGAAGTCGTTGGATTAGTAAAATCTTTATGCACTCGTTTTGCTTGAACGCAGTTTACATTTAAGGTATATCAAGCCTGAACATTTGTTTTGTTATATAGTGTATCTTACATGTAACAACCTGCCATCTCTTTCCTTCTAACAATGAAGCTTGAAATATGAAATTAATCATTTCTTTCTTGTCCTATCTTCTTCAGAACATCCATGCAATAGAAATTTATTTTTATGATAAATTTTTATTTAATATACACAGTATCCATTTTCTGAATCCACATTCTTTGTAAGATAAACATACCAATATTTTTTTAGCATACCACATAAACAATGTACTAAAGAATACCTGCATCGTTTTATCACAAGAAAAAAATTACGGAAGATAAAAACATGGAGACAAATTGCTTTTCCCCAATAAATAACCGCGATTGCTGAGACTGAGAGGACAATTGAAACAGGTATGCATTGGCAGGTTATCGCTATGTCTCTCTAGCAACGTCACGATATGGTGTGAAAATGCTCACAATATCACGACGATTAAGTCAGCAACATGAAAATGGAATTCCGTTTTTGTTTTTTTAAGGTGGTTAAGAAGATATGATCAGGAATGAGCAAGCAAAATTAAGTATATGCCCAGTTTTGCTCAGGTTACCAAATACTTTGTATAAGAATTATACAAACAACAGGACGTTATGAATTTAGATGCACATTGTGGTACCATGGTGGAATCTAAATTCATATCATGTTAATCATTGGGAGGGATAGGGTGACAATTATTCCATATTTAAGGTTTCCTTCAGTAACAAATTTATTGATCTTACACTTTATATGAAGTATTTTCTTTCGATTTTTTTTTTGTTTTAGTTAACCAACACTTTGAAAATTTAACCTGGTGGAAAATTTACATAAGTAGTATGTTATTTCAGTATACGAGTTAAGATTAATGAAAACTGTTCGGAGACTATTGATATTATTTTCAATGTATCGAAACATCGAACCTTAAAGGAAACGTATTTAAGGAAGATCTAAACACTAACAGAAAGTGTGTTTTGGACTCAGAGAAAAATATATCATATAAAGATATGCATATTGAGACTTTTTCATTCATTTAGAACATAGGATACGTACCTTATTTGCGCAAGAAAAATGTTCAAAGACAATGGACTACTTGTGAGCAGAAATCACTGTTGTTTACTTACAATGGGAAAATTAATGAAAATAATTAATTCAATTTCTTACTCTTGGTCTTATATAATGCTAAAAATATTTTAATCTATTAAAAATTATGTAATTGACGGTGAATAACAATTTTTTTAATCTTACATCTACGAGCAGATCACTCTAACTGCATAAAACTACCCAATAAATAGAGCTAGTGTTTAGAGCGTCCTTAAAATGAAATTTCACCAAACGTACAAATAAAATGTCAGCAGCAGCCTCTGAGTATACAGTGGAAACATAAAAGAAACAGCTAATTTGTTAAATTCAAATATCTTCAATTCCTACACAGCCTTGTATTCTACATACTGTGACATTTACAAAATGACTGAAGAACAAGACCTAATAGGCGAACCTTTAGAGAAAGATAAGGGCATCAATATGGTTTTACAAAGCTAATATACCGAAAATACTTAATGAATCACTTTCTATATGTTCTTGGGTATGCCAGGGACATCAACGATAGTTGGAACTCTGGGATAATTTGCACGTACCAACGGGCGATGTCTCTGGCACACAATGTAGCTAGACATTTCAAAAAAAATTTGGGAAAATTGTTGTCTTAGATTTTAATTACACGCCTAAGGCCATTGAGCAGAGAGAGAGAGAGAGAGAGAGCGAGTTACATGCTTATAAAGGCTCCTTAGCACCTGACCTTTCACTTGAATTTACATTACGGTTGCCAGCACCTAACTTTAATGCTACACGGGACCTTGCGGTTTATATGGCCATCATCTTTTTGGTGCCAGCAAGGACCGCTCTCCATGTCCCACAGTGGGATTCGAACCCGCGACGTCAGGGTCAGCACCTTACTTCGCGACTCTAGAGCAATTGCTCTAACCACTGCGCGGGCGACCACTTAACTTTGAAAGAGTTATCGCAGAGAAAACAAATGTAAATATTAATAAATGTTCCAAAATACAGAAAACAATTCAGACACAAGTATATCAAGACAAAAAAACGTCAAAACAAATATAGACATAAGATATCAAGAATGAATTCTGAAATCTCTAGCTTTGGTGTTTTGACTTCAAATGATTTTGAAACAAACTTTGGCATGCAATGACTTTCTAATGTATATATAGTTCACTCATCATTTGAAATAATTGAAATTTTAATCTAGCTTGACCTTGGTTTCCAAATAAAAATTCATAGTTTTTTGGTTTTTTTTTTTTTTTTTTTTTTTTTTTTTTTTTTTTTTTCATATATATTTGCACATCTTTATCAGTATATAATGTAGTCATACCATGACTGATGAAAGTTTTCGTTTTTTTGGCAAGAGTTATTATATTCAACACATTTTCTTTATTTAAAAGGTACATGTAAGTGGAACATATTGGTCTCGGAAATTACTTTATGAATAATGAAAATGGCTATCGCTTTTTGTTCCGACATAATAAGTAACCCTGAATTATTTACTAAACTCGGATACTTCAATTGCGCACATCATTATACACCCGAATGAAAAGTGGGAGGATATACAGTGATCGGGGTGTTCGTCTGTCTGTTACGATTTGGGGTATCCATCTCTTATCCATTACCCCTCTTATACCACTGAATGAAATTGAATGAGACTTTCACAGAGTCTTTGTTACATTGTGCACCTCCTATAAATTTACTTTTTGATCAGACACATATGTTTTTTGGGTTTCCCATGGCAAAAATGGACACTGTCATTCTTTTCTATAATATTGAAGGGTACCCATCTCGTATCCGCAACTACTCCTTTGTTTCAACAGTATTCAGTATATACTGAAAAGATTGGGCAACAGCCTTATAGCCTATAAATACCCTCTCTATATTCCTACACCAATGAACAAAATTTAATGATATTTTCAGAGATTCTTTACATAATGGCATTATGCACCTCCTATTTAACTTTTTTGATCCGACACTTACTAGTATTTCGGGTCTCCCAGAGCAAAAACATGGACTTTGCCATTGTAATCATATGGGAAGTGGGGGTATCATTTAGTGACCTCAGTGCTCACAGTACCTCTAGTTCTGTTTATCTACTTGTACTTTTTTCATCAAAAATCCAATTTTCTCAGTTGGAATCCTGACTTAATATGAGACTTACGAAAACAAATCGCTCTTGTCGGATATGCATAGGAACTGTGAAAATCGCCTACGATATTATACTAAGAATGGAAAGAATATATCCTTCTGTAGATACGTAGGTGTGCATGTCACTTTGATTTAATCAGCAGGTGCAATTTGAAGATGAAATGAACTCCAAGGTATTAAGAAATAGTTAATTATTTTGCCGTGTGTCTCACCTTCAGGTCAGGTACTTCAATTATTCTGATATTGGATTCTTCCTCGTCTAATTTCACGGGGACCGTTGCTTCTTCGTCATCTGCATCTGTTAAGAAATAAATGATAACTTTAAAGATTTGTAACCATATCAAAGGTTAAGTAAACAGCTTGGGATTTGACTCCTTGAAGAAGTACATTGTATTCTTGTTTCTCAAGTAAATTTACAGTAGCAGCTAATTTTAAAGTCCGTTTGTGGTACTAACTTTATAAGTTTTGTAAACTGCCAAATATTGTACGTAAAAACGAGCATTTTAAACGATTTCATAGAGGCACTGACTTGTACACACGAATTTTAAGGGTTACATTAATCTGTACTTGTCCCAAAATTAAAAACATTATTTTCCTTTTTGTCAGAAAATTCATCCAATCCTGGACCTTTGTAAAACCTCACTTCAATACTTTTATATCACTTTACTGGCTAGTAGAAGAAATGTACTTTGGAATATCCAAGAATCAAAGGCAACTGACTTAGACTTAGTCCGAGTGTACAGCAACCTATATATTAGTGGCCCTGTGGTGACGAGAAGACTCGAGACGTATTACGCAATGAATACAGCATCGTTTTTTAAGAGTGGGGAACAAGGCAGAAAAAAAAATTACTCAAAATGATCTTGACAACCAAAAAATGGGGGGATTGTGCAAAGTCGAAGAGGGAGAAGGGGAGCTAGGTTCAAACTTTTTCAAAACTTTATTTTTACTCAGTTGACTACATAAGAAATTGGGGCGGACTTCCAATTAACATAAATTATTCTAATAGTAAAAGTTAAGTCTGGAAAACAGTAGGAGGCCAGTGCCTGGCGAATATAGTTATTTGTTTGTATGATGTCCCTCTTGAGAATTTTTCACACTGGACACGCCTCCACTTTGATGTACTGGTGGGAAGCTGCAAGTTTTGTCCTTTATTTGGCACTTACATGTAAGGCCATTGAGCAGAGAGGGATCTTTTTCCTTCCAGCACCTACTGCGACACGGGACCACGGTTTAAACGGTCTCATCCGAAGGAGCGGTCTCCACTTCTTACAGTGGGATTCGAAACCGCGACGTAAGGATCAACGCCTTACTTCACGATTCTAGAGCAGGCGCTCTAACCACTGCGCCACGTGGGCTACGGTTAAGATGGTGATGGCACTCCTTTGATATTATAAACCTCTCAAAACGCAAATTCATTTAAGAAGTTGAGAGGTCGACATTTGTTAAAACTTCCTGCTGTTTAGGTTCAAAGAACTCGGTTCATGTTTTGCATAAAATGGCCCTGTAGATATACCAATTGATTGACTACCTTTTGGTGTTCCATTTGAAACATTAAAATAAAATAGAGACTAGGTGCCTTCATTTCCTTTTAAGAATTTTCTCCTAAAAGTCCAGGTCATGGAGAACTGGCTTTTTGAAATTGCAATGTTCTTGAATTTTACGGTAAATAGGTATATTTGAGTACTTTCAATGAAGAAAAATAATATGAGCGCACTCTCTGATCTAAAAAATAAAACATGTCTTTTAATCCTCAGAAACAGTCTTATCATTTACTAGTTTCATATTTTAGATCAGAGGTTGCGCTCTATATTAAATATCGAAAAATATCTTTAAAAATTGGCCGTTTTGTGGACTTTTTCAGAATATGAGGAAATTGACGCATTTCATGACGTCATAATACATTGAGTAGCCAGAAAATGACGTCATTTTTTATAGATACGCAATCGCCATAGATCTAGGTGAATTTTAATGCCTTGTTAACCAAAACTAAGCAGTTTCAGTTTTTCAGGAATTCACAGGGCCAAAAAAGGCAAAAGTGAACCTTGTTCTTTATTCATCCTTAAAAGACAAGAACTCTACTCCTACAGCATTTCAAATTCAATAGGTTTGCACAAAGAAAAGATGTCCAGTCTTCCCACAATAAATGTATGTTAGTGTCATGTCCTGTTGTGTGAGGGAGATTTAAGCAAATTAATATCGTATGTAATTCGAGATGAGGGTCTCATTATACAACACAAAAGCAAACGGGGTAAGAGTCATTGTCATTATACGACATAACTGCATCCGATATAGAATGTTTGCAGGTATTCTACCATTGACCTAATGTACGACGTTTCTTCAAATGTTTTGTTCAGACAGGGGCATATTTGAGCATCAAATAATACAAACACTGCCAACAGAAATTTATGAATTCCTGCAATAACCTTCTTCAATTGTTTGTTGAATAAAAGCCAAACAAAAATACTACTATAACATTTTCTTAACCGTTGGTTAATTTTCTGCAGCGCTGGAAATGTGTGGGCATTTGCTTATTAGTAATAAGAAAATTGGAGAGCTTCGACTACATATGCGTGGGAGATTAGTTTGTGGAAGTTATTGCTTATTGGACATGTATGAAGTTAAGGAAACAAATTTGAGCACTGGACGTTGTACTTACATGTATTATGATCGATTTATGGACACTAAGTGGAAGTTTAAGATGTAAGTAGGGTGTTAACAATCTAAGGATATACTAGTCCCTTTCCGTCATGGGTGGTCTGATTCCCCTTTAAAAGTTCAAACTCCTCAGACCATAAAAATGATTTTTATGGTCTGAGGAGTTTGAACTTTTAAAGGGAAAGGGACTAAAGTTCGAAAAAGCTATTTTTAGCCTACAGGTCGCAGTCAAGGTCACAAGGTCATTGACCTTGGTGTCAATTGAAAGAACTTAATTAGTGAAGTATGCATACCAAATATGAAGTCTCTATCTACTACCGGTATGGTCAAAAGTTACGGTGAAAGTTCGAAAAAGCTATTTTTAGTATATTGGTCACAGTCAAGGTACATGTACAAGGTCATTGATCTTGGTGTCATTTGAAAGAGCTTAATAATAATAGTGGAGTATGCATACCAAATATGAAGTCTCTATCTCTCACAGTGCATAAAAATGATGAAAATTCAAGTTTTCCAAGTCAATATAAGTTTTTATATCCTCTACATTGGTCTAAAAATATAGATTTTAAAATTCCAAATTGATACAAATAGTTTTGGAAAGCCATTTCGCTTGCTACCGACTTCAATTCAAGTGAACATATAACATAAGCTTAAGGGAATGTATAACTTGGGGCGGGGATAGTGTGTGTTTACCCCCCCCCCCTCCAAAAAAAAACCTCGTTTTTTTTAAACGTAGATTTTCACTTTTCATTTTAAAAGAAAATATTTTTATTCAAAAGCTGGTTCCCCATTAATGAACCTCAATCTACCACCCTTACCTCTACTCTAATCATAAACAAAATCGAAAGTAAAGAGTAAATTTTCCGGCCGTTAGTAAGGGGCTACTCAATTTTTTTTTTCAGATGTCAGCAAAAGGTTATGATTTTTGCCGAACACCCTGCAAGTTAAAGTTTCACTTCACTTATATAAGGGCGGTCGCCCGATCGCGTGGTTAGAGCGTCTGCTCTAGAGTCTCGAAGTAAGGAGTTATGTCGTGGGTTCGAATCCCACTGTAGAACGTGGAGACCAGTCTTTCGGATGAGACTGTATAAAGCGACGTCCCGTGTCCCATTAGGTGCTGGCACGAAAAAGATCCCTCACTGTTCAATGGCACTGGGTGTCGAGTATAAGACAAAATATGCAGTTCTCCACCGCGACAAGTCTTGGTGTTTCTATCTGTGAATTTTCACGAAAGGGACGTTAAACAGCATACAGTCAATAAATTGATAAGGAGGTGCGAGGGAGGGAGATGTGATAAAAAAAGAAACATTCCCAGTCAGTTATCCTTTGTTTAATAAATGGACAGGCGAAAATTTTCGACAGATCGTTTGGTTTAAAGTTTGATTTTTAATACATTGTTGAACCTTAAGGGGAGACTTTTCTAGGCGGATTTCTATGTGACACCGGAATTCAAAAGGCATAAACATAAATTGCTTTACGGCGCAAAGTCGATTCCAGTGATTTGGGGTTCAGACCTGACATTTCATTTCAATGTGATATCATTTGTTCGGGTCTGAATGTGAAAATGATTACTTCCTGTCATGTTAGTTCAAAAGCTTTTTATTGACAATCAATAAGAATATGATAGTATTCTTCTGCAACTTGCAATCGGTAGTAAGGTTTCGTTTTTGAAGTGTTTTTCGTAATAGGAAAATCCATGACATTTGCTTTCTTTTGAAGACCTAGATGAGCAAAACGATTCTCCAGAAATCTGACTCGGCACAAATGCATTCAAAGGGTTCTTTTGTTAAAATATTGATGCTAGCCTGCTTCAGACAAAGTATCTACATCTCTGGATGGTTTGTTTGGATACTCTTAAGTAAGCCGGAAGTGTGTCCAAATGCTTAGCTTCCTCTTGAGCTTTTGCGGAATCAATGAATCATGAAATGTAGGTCAGATGCAGCATCTGAAGCATGTATGTCAATCTGTAGATCTTCAGGGGAAAAGGTTCTAATGCATTTATCACACGTCAACTTTTGTTTACCTGTCGTTTAAGTAATCTTATGAATAATTGTAAAAAGAGCTGAAACGTTACCAGTTTTAGAGCAATTTTATGGTCGTTGTAAGCAAGATGAATATTTTTGCTTAATTTTTCTTTCTATATATAGAATTACGTAATTCATCTAGATCCATATTGGATTTGTTTGATTGTATGTTGTTTAACTCCCTCTCGAGAATTTTTCACTCATATGGAGACGCCACCATCTGCTACAAATTTATTTTGTACTATACCCATAACCATTGAGCAATGAGGGATTTTTTTCTTACCGCACCTACTGCGACATGTGACCTCGGTCTCATCCGAAGGACTGGTCTCAAGTACCACAGTGGGCTTGGAACCCGTGACGTAAGGACCAGCTTCTTACACCGCCAAGCTAGAGGAAACGCTCTAATCACTGCGCCACGCGGGCGAGTCTAATTATTTGAAAAGAGAAACATACTTTTTATCATCAAGTTTTTTTGTGTGTGGATTATGTATTACGCAGTTTTCTGCAAACTTCAGATGTTATTGAATGGTATGGTTTTGCACACAATCTCTGACCGCCCTTTCAGTGGACTATATGAACCTGAAATTTCATACCCGTTCTATACGAGAAAGATCCC